TGCTGCTTGGCCTGCTGTGTTCATCCAGCCCTGCACCTTGTTGTCTCTTATACAAGGTGATGTGGTTGGGAGCTTTTTGAGCAGCGGGTGATAATGACCTGGAACTTGTTGCCGATGAGGTTGGCGGAAGCAGAGATGATCAATGATTTAATTTTTCATAATTGTATAGGACATTAGTGAGGCTGTACCTGGAGTAATATGCACAGTTTTGGTCTCAAACGTATGGAGTATTCACTTGCACTGGAAGGAATTCAGAGAATGTTCACTGCCTTGATTTCTGGAATGTCTTATAAAGAAAGGTTGGACCTGTAATCATTGTCATTTAGAAGTGGGCAGTGATCATTTGAAAATGTAAGATTGTGAGGGGTCTTAACAAAGTAGATGCTGAGAAGATATTTCCCTTTTAGAAGCAATCTATGACTAGGAAGCATAGTTTACAAATAAGGTGTCTCTCATTTAAACAGAGAAGAGGAGGATTTTTGTTGTTATTCTTTGGAATTCTCATCAATAGACAGTAGAGGCAGCTGAGTTATTGAACCCATTCAAGGATGACTTTACAGCTTTTTAATCTACAAGGGTGACAAGGGTTGTGGGGAGGAGGCAGGAAAATGGGGCTAAGGCTACAATCCGATTTGTTGTGACATTGCTGAATGGACTGAATGACATACTCCTGCTCCAATTTTTTACGATTGATCAAAAGGAAATTGAATGGGTAATTAAGGGAGATGAACATACTGGACCATGTGGATGCAATGGGGGGAATGGGATTGACTGGTTTGCTGTGCAGCCAATCATCATATACCTGATAGGCTGAATTGCCTCCTCCTGCACTGTAATGATCCCATGAAATAGGATATCTGATGAGATTCTTAGCAAGATGAATCAAGTAACAAGGAACTGCATGAGTTGAATTCTCATGGGTTTAACAACATGGAATCAATATGGGCATATCTGTTTTAAAAGAAAATTACTGCACATGCTGAGAATTGAAATAAAAGCAGGTAATGCTAAACAGTCACCATGTCTGGCTGCATTAGCATGAAACAGAGCTAACATTTTAGGTCAAAGAGTTGCCTTCTGGCCTGAAACAGTAAATTCCTATTTTTCTATTGCAGGAAATGATGTCTGACTTGCTGAGTGTTTGCAGCATTTCCTGATTTTAGCATAATATATCATCATGTTCTGTGTGTGTGTACTGATATCATTTAGCTTAACTGTTGTTGTGAAGGCCTTTGATGCATTTATCTCATGCAATCTTAATTGCGTTGAACTGGACTCCTTTTAGCATTGTACAGCACAGCTATGCTCAGCATCTCTCTGCTGCAACTGATATCTTAATGAAGCATATCAACTCTCTGGATCAACACAATGTTATACATGTGTACACTGTTGTAGGGATTGGCAATGGGAGGTATAATCTTATCCTTGGAGATTTGCAGCAGATGACCAAAGTCTCAATGATGAGCTATTATTCCTGAACCAATATATATATATAAAATCCTGAACTGCCTCTTCAAAAAAGCCTGGTTGACAGACATGTTTCCATTTGTTATACTTCCCACTTTTGTAGGCAGAACCAAATAGCAATGGCAGCAGCACCAGCACTGTGACTACCAATACCACCAGCCCCAGCAGCTCCAGCACCATCAATGCCTGCAACTCCAGTGGGATTAACATGTATTCCAGTCCAACACTGGCTCCTCTCATCGAACAGTGAGTACAGCAGCAATGTTTAATTGTTATCTGAGAGATTTTAGAATTATTTATTTCTTCTAAAGATATGGGTGTCATGTGCATTTCCCAGTCCTAGATTCCCTGGAAGGTGGTGGTAGGCTTATTTTCTTGAACTGCTGGCCTAATACATTGAATGACTTGCTAGGTCACTTCAGAAGGTGCTTAAGAGTCAATTATATTTTCATGGGCCTGGAATTGCATATAGGCTTACACAGGGTAAGGATGGCAATAGGTGTGAAATGATGAACAAGATGGGTTTTTGATTTGATTTGAGTTGATTTATTATTGTCACGTGTACTGAGGTACAGTGAAAAGTGTTGCCTTACGTGCTTTATAGGCAGATCATACTATACAAGTTCACCAGGGTAGCAGAACAGAGTGCAGGATACAATGTTACACCTGCCGAGAAGGTGCAGAGAGAAATCAACATTAACATTAAAGAGGTCCATTCAAAAGTCTGATAACAGTAGGGAAGGATCTCTTGAATCTGTTCGTACATGTATTCAAATTTTCATATCGCAAATGTTAATGTAGGTCTTTCTCTCTGCACCTTCTCTGTGGCTGTAACACTGTATTCTGCACACTGTTCTGCTACCCTGATACACCTTGTATGGTACAATCTGCCTGTCTCAGCATGCAAAACATCATTTTTCACAGTACCTCAGTACATGTGACAACAATAAATCAAACTCAATCTCAAACTCAATAATGATCAGATAATCTGCTTTTGTGGTGTTGATTGAGGACACGTTTTGGCCAGAACACTGGGGATAGTTTCCCTGTATGTCTTCAAAATTGTGCGTTAGAATTTTTAACATCCATCCCAGCAGGCTTCAGTTTAATGTCTTTCTGAGAATAGCACCCCCAACAGTGCAGCACCCCTCCAGTACTGCACAAATGTTTCAAACTTAATTTTTGTTCTCAAAATCTGGAATAAGACTTTAATTCAGAGACTTGTAACACAGAGACCTAAGTCATTGATCCAGCATTGCTGCTCAAGATGCATTTCATTCTGGGATGTCAGTGCCGGACAAACATTTGCTCTTTCCGTTTTCCCGTGTCAATGAAGCTAAATTCTTTGTTTCCTATGTACAAAGCGGGAAGCAAAATGGTGATAAGGAGAATGAATGTCCTACTCCAGGCAAAGTCCAACCGGTCAAGGTCGAGATAACTAGCTCAGAGACAAAAGCCAGGATTGAAGAGGAAGCTTACAATAAAGGGTAAGATTTCCCTTGTGCCTGGAGAGAACAGAATGTAATATGTAGATGCTGGTACAGCGTCCACCCTCATAATCCACACAGTGGTGGCTGCCCAGTGCTGAACCTCCCCATTGCTCAGACTCTGCAAAAACAATACAGACCGTCAGATATCATGCCAGCCATTCCCTGGATTCAGTCAGGATTCTAGTGATCTTATTACTTATTGCTTGTTGGAAAAACCTCAAAAGATACTTCTTATCCATTGGCTGAGGTGCTTAACTTCTTCTCCCATCAACCACCCCCAGTCCTGGCATTGTTCTATTTCTCTTGCTGCATTTTCTATAAATCTCCATTATGGAATTTTGGGAACCTTGCCAGGAATAATGGAAGTCCTCTGACAGCTCCTTACATAGGGTATTCATATCCAAATCAGACATCCATTTGCCCTTTCTTTCTGCTCTAGGAATGCTTCCAGTGAGGCAATACCTCGATTTTAAAATCCTTATTTTTTTTTCAAATCTCTCAATTGGCTGACCTCTCCCTATCTCTGTAAACTCCTCCAACTTCATAACAGTGGAAATGAACATTGAATGGTGAGATTAAAAACCTCTTCTCAGGCAGTCCCTTGGAATTGAGGATGACTTGCTTCCCCTCCAGAATGATGGGTTCTAAGCTTGCTCATAAATACAATGTGCAATCTGCACACTCTGTCACATGCAAGGCAGATATTTGAATACTTTGTTGGTTTGTGTGCACTCCCCAACATCTTAACTTCTGCTCTGATATTTAACATCCTCAGAGATGCTCTGAAGGCATAGCTAAAGTGTTTCTGTCATAATCCTGGGAGTTTCCTGGCATTATCAATTTCCAAGTTGCTTCAGATCCTAATATCGCGCACAGGAGGGATATATCTAGCCTAGCAGAACTGGTTATAAATGATTAATGTTAGCTTGGGAAAGGATACTGCCTTTAGGCCACCTTTCTTGCCATTAGATTAGTGTTTTGAATCGCCTGCTGTAGTTTGTCCAAGTTTCTCAAATAGGTTGTCTAATAGCATGGGAAAGGGCTGTACTAAGATTGGTGCAGGAGTATTATGTAGACCTGTGTGGACATTGCATCCAAACTGCACACAGCATCCAATCCAAATCTGTATTTATGGCCGGTGCAATGTGACCTAAAAATTGTGCAAAGTTTTATAAACTTTTTTGCCTCCAAGTTACCAAGAAGGTTTGAAAGCCCAACTCAGCCAGGAACAGAAGGAGTTGCATGACATCCCTGAGAAGGTGGAGGAGCACAACTTAGAGAAACAACCAGAACTCAACTTCAAAGAAGAAAGGAAATGCAGGTGGGTTCCTGAAATTTTCATCGCACTAATGAAAAGATTTTCTGCATTATTTCTGGGATTTCTATTGCGTTGTATTGTTCTGCCCCCAGTTTTGTATTTAATGTGGCACATCACAAATCACACAAGCTGATTTTAAGCATTCAGGATGTAATATCCCAGATTCAGTGTTCAATATCCTAAATTTGAGCTCTCAGAAGCAACAATGAGGTAGTAGTGAAAATACTGGACCAGAGGCTTGGGCTGAGGCTTTGGGAACATTGGTTAAAAATGTAACGTAGCAGCTGGTGCAATTTAAATTCAGTTTTAAGCTTATCTCATTAAGGGTACCACAGAAATTATCATCAGTTGTCATAAAAATCCGTTTAATGCCTTTCAGGGAAGGAAATCTGCTATTTATACCTGGTCTGGCCTACATGTGCCCCTAGACCCACAGCAATGTGGTTCACTCTTAACTGCTGTCAAGCGTAATTAGAAATGGGTAGCAAATGCCAGCCTTGCCAGTGCCACCCATCTATCTTGAGTTAATTTTTAAGAAAGGTTAATTATTCTATAACCCAAATTCAGGCTCAATTTCCTTGATTCAGGGAGTAGTATCCATAGGGTTTAATACAGATTGTTTGGTTTTATACTTTATACTTCTGTTGATAAAACCAAGCATACCCTGCAATTTTTTTGCCATCCTCTTTACCTGCTGTGTTACCTTCAAAGATTAGTGAATACATATGATTCAAGTAACACATTGTGGTTTGGCAAACCACTCCATTATGGAAATAAACTTTATCGAATTCCATTAAATGGAAACTGTTCTAGCGGGATGGGCGTACTGGTCTGGGAGGGGCTGCATTGCAGATTCACCAGAACAATACTGGGCATACTGAACATTCAATTATGAAGACAGCTTGCATGTATTAAACTTATGGTCACTTGAATATAAAAGATTAATTATTAATTGGAAGCATTAAAATGTTGAAAGATTCAACAAAGTAGATAAAAACAATTTCCTCTGGATGAGGATTATTCAGAACGAGGGTAGTATTAGGCATTCAGGGATGATATCAGGAAACACTTCTTCAGAGTATGGAAATTTGGAACACTGTCCCAAAAAAGCTGTTGATGATTTGAAAGTGTTGGGATGCAGGAATCTTTTGAGATTGAAACCTGTAGGTTTTCCTTTGGTAGGGTATTACGGAAAGCAAAAAGAAAATAAGTAAATGGAGTCAAGCTACAAGTCAACCATAATCTAATTGATTGGTAACAGACTTGAGGGTCCAATTTGGAGGATAATAAAAACAATGATTCTAAGAAACATACAGAAGCGAAAATTATTTCCTTCAGCTCAATTATGTTTCAATCATGTTTTATACATCCCAAGCCTCCATAACTAGCAATGTCAGCAATGTTGGTTTGGAGTACACACCAGACTAGTACACGTGGGAGATGACTTTGGATTGAAGATTGCATTGTGGAAGGAACTCTCTAAAGTGATAATGAAATGTGTATGTCAATAACATCTAAATGTTAATTAAAGTCCCCACTTTGCCTGATAACAGACTGCGCCAGCTTCATCATTTCCTGTAAACAAGAACTTGTACTCCATTTACTTTCCAAAATGCATTCATTCTCCCACTTCCATATTTTGGACATAAAAGTACTTAGCTTATGTTGCACTGTTTCTGTCAGTGCACAGATGCTGTTAGAGTTATTAGATTCCCACCAGTTTCTCTGCAATTCCAGGTCATTCTGATCATATAGGAGCTACTACACAAGTACAGAATCCCTTGCACTTGGCTCCACAGGGGCTCTGGGTCCAGTCTGTGGGCACAGGGATCTAACTCAGTAAATCAAAGAGGGAAATGCACCTGAGTTGTCCCAGAGATTAATTTGAGAAGAGATGGTCACTAATCTTGATGCAAGTAATAAAAAATGGTGTCTGTCTGTCTCTTATTCTTTATTTTGCTGACTCTATTTGACTCTGCCTCTCTCGCTTTGTCCCAATTTCTAACTGTGCTTTCTTTTCTTTTTCTCTGTCTTTACCTGTCTCTGTGTCTCTGTCTGACTTTTTCATGTTCCCTGTTCCTCTATCTCTTTGTTTGTTTCTTTCTCTCTTCCTCTCTCTATCATTCTCTGTTCTGTGTTTTGTCACTCTATGTATTTTGCTATTTTTCTATTTTTCTCACTCTCTTTTGTTTTATCCCTCTGTTTGTTTTTCTTGTCCAACCTCTGCATTCCTCTGCCCCCTGTCTTGCTCTGTCTCTTTTGTTCCATCCTACTACTCTCTCCCTGTCTTTTTGTCTGTAAGTCCTTCTTTATCCCTCTATCTCTTTCTTTCTGCCTCACTCTTTCTCTCTCTCTTTCTCCATTTCTTACTTCCTCTACTTTTATTATCTTGTCTCTCCTCTGTCTCTTTTCCGTATTTCTCTTTTCCATTTGCCTATCTGTTTCCTCACCTTCTCTCCCTTCCTTCATGGCCGTCTCTGTCTTGCCCTTTCTGTGTTGCTGTTCTCTTTGTTTTTGGCTCTCTCTTTGTCTGCCTCTCCCTCTCTCAATTTCCCTGTTCCCTTTCTCTGCGTATCTCTCTCTGTCTCATTCCCCTTCTCACAGTAAGTTTGAAGAAGTTTCAGAGCTGATCGACAGACTGTGCCCGAAGTGTTTGAGACATCGCAGTGCAATCTGGATTGTGGGGGCTGTGGTACTATTCTTTGCAGTTCTCATCAGCATCTTCAGCTCCGTCCATTATCCGTGCAGTGATCAGTCAGACACTCCAAGCAGGAAGAGCAGCTGCTCGGCGGTGCAGAAATATCTCTGGCCTTTCTCAGGATCACGACACAAGAACCGGGAACAGGTGTAACGGAAAGTTCCAATTTCTGAGGAGCGAGAGCACAAATCATTCCACAATCAAATACCAGGGAGACAGCTTTCACAAGACTTCCAAAGGCGTGTGAACACAGGCATTTATAGAACCATCGTTGCTTGAACCATCCACCAACACAATGATCAGCTGCTAACTTACAACTAGGAACAGCATAGTTTATGTAGCCCTCTAAGATATTCCAACTATTTAACTGTTTTATCCTTAAAGGTGTTTAATCATTTTATTGTTTGTGTGTTTAAATGTTGATTGTCGGCGTAAGTAAATATTCATACTTCTGAACAATCTTGTTGCAAACTGTTTCCTATTTTACTTCTGTGAGCTGGAAGACAAATCAGGTGATTTATTTTAGCTATTACATTGCTGTTATTGGCTACTTCTTACCTGATTTTAATTCTTCATGATGAATTACCCAAAATAGGACAGTCACAATGCTGGTTGTGATCAAACTATATCGTGCTCTAGTCAGTCCCACTTTGGAGTATTGTGTCATGTTCCAGCAATGGAGACAATGGAGCAACATTCAAACACTGGAGGCCGAACAGAGAAGAGCCACAAATCTAAGATCATCAAAGGGTCAGAGTAATGAAAATACTGGAAAGAAAGTTTTGAAAGGAGAGAACTGAGAGGTGATCTTAAACAATTTGTTAAAATAAATAAAGACTGCAACTTAAACCAGAAGAGCAGGATAAAGGAAAACTAGTTCAAACTGGTTAATAAAAGGCAAGTTCAAGCAAATAAATGGCAAATCCAGCTCTTTTTCCTTTGCCCAGAGAAATGGATGCATGTGGAATGAAAGCTTGAATAGGGTAGTGGGAAGTAACAACCCAGGGAAGTTTAGGGATAGGAGCATCTCCATTGATGGATGAATGGAATTGATAGGGTCGATCTTCATGGATTAACATTCAGCGAGACCTTCTACATCCCCCATGATTTTGTGACCTTTACTTTTAATGATTATTTCAAGAGTGATGAGTTTCACTTGTTAATACATTGCAATGTAACATTCTAATTATTGGGCCTGTTGGTGGAACTGAAACAATAAAAAGAAAAAGGGAAATAAGAACACAAACTGAAATCCCCAAGGAATCAGACCTACTCCACCATCTCCTATCCAGGCTTACTTTTTCCTCTACTTTTAAACTGGGTGACATGTTCACCCTCTATTCCTTCTACTACCCTGACATTTAGAACCTGAACGTTAGAGCAAGCCACTGCTGTCTTCACTGCCCAACTTTCCATCCGGAATGATATCCCCCATCCTTCACCTGAGCATTCCCAACTGGAGATTTGACAGATCAGGGAGCATTCTCCTGCCACAGCTATTGTGGAAGATCAATCTGTGAAAAAAGTGGTCTGGAGAAATCCCAGCAGAGATTCCAACCCCAAACTTTGCCATCTTTTGTGGTCAGACAATACCATTTCTAGAATGATCTCGCCTAATTCAGGGGCAAACCCACAAGTAATTGTGTACCTTTGTTGTACTGATTCTAAAAATCATAATACAAGCAAAAGAAGAGACTTAGCTGTTAGATGAGAGGCAACTGTACATAAATGCACCTTCTTATTATTCATTCATTTGATGTGAGAGTTGCTGGCCAAGCCAGCATTTAATCCCACTGACAAGATAGTGCTGAACTGCCTTCTTGAACCACTACAGTCCATGTGGTGTAAGGACACATAAATGCTGTTAGGAAAGGTATTCAAGAATTTTGACCAGTGACAGGGAAAGAATGGTGATATATTTTCAAATCAGAGTGGATGGCTTGCAGGAAAACTTGCAGGTGGTCATGTTCCCATTCATCTGGTGCAAGGTGAGAGATGTTGTGGGTTTAGAAGGTGCTGTGAAGAAGCCTTTATGATCTGCAAAACTGCTTCTTGTAAATGGTACGCACTGCTGCCACTGAGTGCTAATGATGGAGGGAGTGAATGTTTGAGGTGGTGGATGGACTCCTAGTCAAGTGGGCTGATTTTATCCTGGGTTCATGTCAAATTCCCTGAGTGTTGATGGAGCTGTACTAATTCAGGCAAGCAGAGAGTATTCTGTCACACTCCTGACTTGTGTCTTGTGAGTAATGGACGGGCTTTGAGAAGTCAGGAAGTGAGTTACTTGCTGCAGAATTACCATCCATTGATCTGCTTTTGTAGTCACAATATTTATGTGGCTTGTCCAGTTAAATATTTTGGTACATTTTATATAAGTTCTCAGCTGTTCTGGCTTTAATTAATGGAAAATTTAAATAATAAATACTTAAAATTGTGTTGAATTGAATCTTACTCAAAAATTGAAAATGCCAGATTAACAATTGTGTGCAGTTACTGCAATGGTAATGCCCTCATTCTATGATGATAAGATCATTCTTAAATTTAATAGGCCCATTGTAAAGTGCAATATTTCTGAATAGTTCCATTGATTGGGCAGGGTTCCCCCACCAAAGCACTGAAAACATTTGAAAGTAACTCAATAATATTCATCCTTCATGTCTGAATGTTTGCGTATTATATCAAGATCCATGTAAAGTTTTGCACGTTAAAGCTAACACATTGTACTGTATAGTCCCACATACTTGATTTTGTTAAAATAAAGTTTACCTAAAATGTTTCTGTGTAACTTGTTTGACAAGAGATTTTTTTTCCATTTAGAACCTTAAAGATTTATAACAGTAGGAAACTGCTAGCTCATTGCATTTGTACCAATTCTTTGCTACATCAACATGAAACTGAATGGCTTAGCTAACTAGTTAGTGGTTTGTACAAACTAATCCTACTGTCCTGCTCTCTCCTCAAGAGCTTTACATCAATCCAAAACTAATTCTACTGAACCACGCTCTCCTTATAGCCCTAAATCAATCCAAAACTAACTATGATACCCTGCTGTCTCCCCATAGCTCTGTATCGATCTCAAACAGTCCCAGTCTCTTCCTGTAGCCCTCTTTAAATTGCATGCCAATGCTACCACTCTATCTCTATAGTTTTATGTGCTCCTTTTCTTAATAACTATCCAGCTTTTCATTAAAGATACATTGGTATTTGCCTCAAACTTCCGCCTTGGCAAAATATTCTGTACTCTAACTGTCTTCTATGTAATAACATTTCACGAAGCTCTATCCTTTGTCTATCAATAACAGCTTTAAATCGATGATCCCCTCGGGAGGATACAATCTTTCCTTGTACCCACTCTGAAAATAAGTCCAGCTTGTCCTCATACCTCTGAAACAACATCTAGATAAATCAACTATTGCTCAGTAATGTGACATCCAAAACTGCACATAGTTTCTAACTGTGGCTTAGTGGTTAGTACAAAGTTAACCATTACTTCTTCAATCTTATATTCTATGTCCTCAATTGTAAAACTACATTTTCTAGTGATCTTTCTATGAAAGATCATTTATACGCAGTCATTGGATGTGGGCGTCACTTGCCAGCTCAGATTTATTGCCCTGGAGAAGGTAGTGGTGAGTAACCTAGAAATGCCGCAGTATTAGGGTTTAGGGACACTCACAGAGCTGTTAGGAAGGTAATTCTGGGATTTTGACCCCATAACAGTGAAAGAACAGCAAAGTAGTTCCAAGTCAAAATGGTGTGTGGTTTGAAGGGAAAGTTGCAGGTGATGGTTTTCCTTTGTATTGTCTGCCCTTGTCTTCTAGGTGATGGAGTTTGTGGGTTTGGAAGGTGCTGTCAAAGTAGCATTGGTGAGTTACTGCAGTGCATGTTGTAGATGGTACACACTACTGTGACTGTGTAACAGTGGTGAAGAGATTGAATATTTACAATCATGGATAGGGTCCCAATTAAGCAGGCCACTTTGTCCTGAGTAGAGTTGAGTTTCTTATGTGTTTATGGAGCTGTATCAATCCAGACAAGTGGGGTGTATTCCATCACACTTCTGACTTGTGCCTTGTAGTTGATGGACAGGCATTGAAGAGCCAGGAAGTGAATTACTCACCACAGAATTCCTAGTGTCTGACCTGCTCCTATGGCCACAAAATTTGCATGGCTAGTTCGGTTCAGTTTCTGGTCAACAGCAACCCAGGATATTGATAGTGGAGAATTCAGTGATGGCAATGCCATGGTGCATTTCTTGTCCAAAATGCATTACAACCAAACAAGTACATTTGAAGTATATTTTAGTGTGGGAAATGTGGCAGCCAAAGCTTGCAAATAAAATTATGTTGATAGTTTGCATAGTATATTGTTACAATCAAGTGAGGAGGAGTAAATCGGTTCCCCTCTTTTCAATCTCCTCCATTGGCAATAGCAAAGATTTATATTCTTTTTTGCACAAAGCTTACCATTTTCAATTAGAATGTAGTTAACGAGTGCTCTAGAAACAAAAAGGCTCCAATTAGAAGGTCTCCTTGAGTGAAAGAAAAAGCAATTTATCGGGCTAACCCTGAAAAATAAAATCAAAGCACAAATATGCACCTGCACAAAGTTAAAGAGGGATTGTGTCCAGTGCAAAACAGAAATAAAAGAAGGCACAGTTTAAAATCCTTAGGGTGTCCATTTATGTGAAAGGTTTTAACCTGGGATCAAATTTTTTTAATTGAAGACCTGTGTCCCCAGCAGTGGTGAATAACTTTTAAATTTTTCTTGTCCTGATGTTTCCTTTCAATCAACTCAGTAACCGGGCATTTTTCATTCTTCAGAGGCTGACAGATCACTTCCTTTACCTGCTTCCAGTTGCAACTCCATCTCCCGTCCTCTGCCAAAAGCAGCTCCCTGAAATACAGCTGCCTTGAGTATTCCAATCCTTATTTCCAAGTTTAATAATTGTAATAGTGTCTTTCACCTCTAATATGTTAAATTTAACATAAATAGGAGATGGGAATTTCTTCATGCCTGACTGATTAAAAATATCAGACAATTTTGTATATTCCACATTGATTTCATGACTTGCGGCTAACCTGTGTGGTAAATTGATTGCTGTGGCCATTTTGAGTCAGGGTTTTTTTTCTTTTTGAAACTATAACTGTCCCAGGTATTAAAATCAGATAATGGAATTTGAAAATGAATTGGCAATTTTTATCACTATTGTTATAGTATCCATACGAATGTGAAGATTTGCACTTTTTAAGCTAAAGCATTATGTGGTATAATGCCGTATCCTTGATTTTGTTAAAATAAAATTGACCTAAAATGTTTCTGTGTAAATTATTTGATTAAAATGACTTGCTTTGTCATTTAGAACTTGAAAGAAATGTTGGACTGCAGATATAGGGGAGAATTCTCCTGTTCCTCAACATAATGATCATGAGATGCCATGTGCCCAAATTTGAAGAACAACACCTTATCTTCCACCTTACAGCCGGAGGACTCAACATTGAGTTCTCCAATTTCAAGTAACCTTCCCACCCATCCCCGAGCTCTCTTTCCAGCCTCATCTCCTCCCTTCCATTCCAACTTCTGACCTTCCCTTCCAGCCACCAACTGAATTTATCTCTCTCGTCAACCAACATGGTCATACCTACTGCCAGTGTCCACCTATCACCACCATTCTATGACCAGCCCCCCTCCCCCTTCCTTTTACCTGCAGCTCTCCCTACCCCTACATCCAGTCCTGAAGAAGGATAATACCTCAAACATTGATTTCTCCTTTCCTCCAGAACCTGCTGGCTTGCTGTGTTTTTCCAGCCTTCTGTTTGTCTACCTTGCATTCCAGCATCTGCAGTTTTTTGGTCTATAGCCTCAGTTTAACATCTCATTCAAAAGACAGCTCCTCAGTACTTTCTAATAACTGGCACCCTGACAAAGCAGTGCTCCCTCACTGCCACTCAGATTATGCCATGCTCCCTCAGCACTGCCCATCTGCCAATAAAGCACTCACTTGCGACTGCCCCTCTGACACTGCAGAACGCCTTCAATAAAGGCAAAACCGTCACAGTCCTACTAGACCATATAATCATGCTGTCATCAGACAGAGACAACCAGTGGGTAATTTAACCGGAGGATCACCATGCCTCAGGCGAGGGGAGAGGTTGAGAAGTAGAGTCCTTCATGGTAACCTCAACTGGTGCAGGAATTCAGCCCACACTGTTGGCATCACTCTGCATTGCAAACCAGCAATCTAGCCAACTAAGCTAACTGACAGTACAGTACACCCTCAGTATCACTGACTCTGACAGTGAGCATTCCTTCAGTAGAGACAGTGAAGATCAGTATTGCCCCTTCAATGTTAATATATACCTTCAGACTGACTGCACCCCTGCAGAACTGATCCTGTGACAGAGTTGTGCATGCTCAGTACAGTATTGTCTATCTGCCAAGGCTACGCCCCCTCAGTTTTGATTTTCCACAAGTGCCACATTCCCGAGTATTGACTCTCCAATGAAACTGAACTCCTTCAGTACTGTTTCTCCAATAGTGCAACACTCCTCAATACCAACCCTCCAACAGGGTGGTACTCTGCCTTATGATGTCATCCTGAACATCTTTGTCAGCATTTTACCTGGGTGGGACTTGAACCTTCTGGGTTAGATTTTACCAGCTAATGCCATTGTGGGATTGGAGCAAAGCAGAGTGAATAACAACACAGGAACAGAATGAAGCTATTTAACACCATGAGTTTATTTTGCCTTTTAATGAGATCGTGGCTGATATATGATATCTCCTTTGTCCTCTTTTGCTTAATATCTTCAAGTATCAAAAATCTATCAATCTCAGAATTAACATTAACAATTGATTTGTCATCAATTGCCATTCATGGAAGAGAATTCCAAATTTCTATTATCCTTTATGTGTAGACGTGTTTCCTAATGTCATAAAATATATGCCTTTAAATTTTATACTCTGCCCATTACTCCTAGACTTCCCAACAAGCAAAAATAGCTTCTTTATCTATGCTCTTTATTAGCTTGAACATTTTTATTAGATTCCTCCTTAACCTTTTACATTTCAGAGAATACAACCCTAGTTAATGTAATTTCTCTTTCTAATTTAACCCTTGGTCTGCTGGAGGTTGATGAGACATGGCAGATAGACATGGGTCAAGATGATGAGGTGCAGCAAGCAATCAGAGAGGGCAGATCAGAACAGATGTAGCAGAACAGGAGGATTGATGCCTTAGAAATGAAGCTGAATGAGAGGAACAGATAAGTGGAGTGTATTGGAGTGGATTCAAAGTGCGCCAAAAATTAAAATTGATGCTCCTAAACATTCTTGTGTCCCCATTGAATGATCTGATCCAATGTAGGATGGGTCTCATTGGAACCATTAAAATGGCTGTTTGAGGCGCCTGTACAGAACCACCTAGTAACTGAATTCATTAACTTTATCATAAAACTGCAGACACCTAAAAATGCTACTGACATATGTACCAATATTTTTGACCCAATAATTTCATATACTGTCTCAATCAAAATCCCCAGCTGAACTGAACTCTTATCAGCAAGCTCTCATCATTCCTTTGTTTGTTGTTAGGGGCAGGAAGACTTTTTGATTCCAACTTAGTAATCATATCAACAGAGCTTAAATATTGCTAAGAGGAAACCAGTCAAAGCTTTTCATCTTATAGTCAAGATGAAAATAACGGTGATGCAAGAAACAGACTTGAGAAAAGAGACAACAATTTATATAACCTATTACTATGATCTACTGAATTCCTGTGTTCGT